AATGTAAATGTCAGCGGTAATTTACAAGTCTGGGACGGTCAGTAATATTAGAATCGATACCTGATTCTAATATTAGCACTTTTACACCACCCACGTGCAACCAAAAGTTTTACGAATTCAATAGGTAACAGAAATTAATCATTTAGCGTTTCTCGAATGCCGCGGAGAACCTAACGGGTTACCGGGGCTCCGGCTCGACGTGCAGGAGAAAGAACGGGGTGGTTTTTAGTCAATAAGAGTCTGAAACTCCCTCCCGCCTCACTTAGCCGGGAGCAGTCATTCGATGATTTTCCTCCCCTTAAAAAAAGCGTTTCTCGATTACTCGGTACTTTGTAGTTAGGTGCAGTACGGAGGCTTGGGATCAGGGATTGATGGCGCTGTGTACCAGGACCAAGGAGGCAGCGTGAGTGAAGTCCCTTTCTTCACGTTCCTGAACATTTTGATTTAAACATTTTTCCATTTATCATATTTTGCTTTAATTCCTAAACGTGCACACTTTAATATACCCAATTTTTTACCATTTTTAACATTGTGGTGGGCCGGAGGTTCATGACACCCGCTTCTCATGCATGATGGTGCGTGTTCAAAACATACCAACGGCTACCAATGTGACATTTCCGAGTTATATGTACTTTTTAACATTATTTAGACACCACTGACAAACGGTGAAGGAAAACATTGTGAGGAAACCTGAGCTTATGATTTTTAATTGTAAGTTTAAAATCGCCAACTCGCATTGAGCAAGCGTGGTGATTAATGCTCAAAACTTCTCCGTGTAAAAAGAGGTCCTTGGTCAGCAGTGACCACTTATAGGCTGTTGATGTGTGCTGATCATGATGTATGAATGCTGTATAATAGGATGAACCTGTGTCATACCTCAGCAAAGTAAAATTCTGTAATCCCCACGCTTGGCAGACGAGTTGGAGATTACAGTTTCATCATCAGCAGTCATAAATACCTCGACTATATAGCCCGTAGCATAATTTAGTTGTACAACACCCACAGCAAGAATTAGGGTGGTGATATTTGCAGTCTGCTTTGCCTTACATCATGGTCATGACTTTACATGATATCATAGACTAAAATAAATTAGTTTTAAACTTACTTCCCCGCCGTTAATCTATTAATCTTCGAGGTTTAAATAACCGGAAATATAATGCAATAATTATTAATTATTTACGCAAGACCCAGCTAAGGTAGCTGATAATTAAACCTTCAGATATCAGATATAACCGCGGGGTTAATTAAAAAACCCCCTAGCTCCTGAAAATAAGCAAATATTTGCATAACAATTCATAGTTTTTTTATTTTCGATCGAAAATATTTAAATGCGCTTTTGGTAGGTAAACGAAAAAGATTTTAAGGTTAGTCTTGGTGTTTTAATCTGTGATTTTCGACTTTATGACTGAATTATAGGGTCTAATATCTGTTGAATGGTTTTTACAAAATGGTGTAGATTGACATGTTGCTGTCTGAGATTATTGGAATATTTTGATGATAATTTTTCTTTGTTTTATAACTGAGTCGAAAATTATTATTAGTTTGCATTAGACCGGATCGCTTTTGCTTACTATTTATCTAATACTGGGTTCAATAATCTCATACTTTCGTCTTCACACAACATCATGCTTTCTATCCCCGAAGGCAGAGTTACACTGTTTTATAATAATATAACATCACGCCTTTTATCCCCGAAGGGGTAGGCAGAGGTGCACATTATGGCACTTGGTGCCACTATAACACCAATGTAATACCCACTTTTCACTATTTATGTTATGAGTCCCATGTAATAGGGGGTGAGCCTATTGCCATATCCCATATACCGGGCACAATTCCAATCTCCGTGCTATTACTGTCATTTTTTTTAAACCCAACTATACTTCACACAATCCGGGAATCGAACCTGAGACCGCTTGCCCGGCAATCGCACATGCAACCACTCGGTCAACGAAGCAGTCAGCTTGTGATCTGTAACACAGGTCATACCTTTAACAGACAACAGTCTCTTAATTGTTACATATTATATAATTTGTATCCGTAGAGTATTTTTGAGAAAATAAATATTTTTATTATTTATTATTATTATTATATAGCTTTGGTCCTCTATGGTAGAAAATACGATTCTACGACACATGTCTACGGTTCTTACATAGGTAATTACCTTACATTCTTGTAATTACTCATACAAATACACCGGTATTACTCAGCACTTGTTTACCATTCTCCACACTCGACAGGAAGTTTCGAAATCACAGTTTAAAAGGTTATTTTTTATCATAACTTCGTCAGATCTCAGACAATTTCTTTCTCTTTTTTCCCACCGGAAGATTAGGGGTGGTAAACTACTTTTACTATACTTTTCTCCCATCATCACACACGAAAATCTTACTCAAACATTTATTTACATTAAAAACGTTTTATTCCAAACACGTGTTTGGAACTATAAAGAAAACAGTCTAAATCAGGGTTGTCCAAATAATAACCCTCGCGGGCTAATTAAATTTCTAACAAAAGCTGGAGGCCCGTAAAATATTTTCAGTTGTATAATAACATTTAACATTGTATTCTTTACTCACAGACTAAACTTACATACAAATCATACACTGAAATTTATTATTGTTGTTGCACATAAGATGAAGATGTTGAGATTAAAATGTGTGTCGCGGGCCATATGAAAACAGGCCTTTGTTTGGACAGCCCTGGTCTAAATAGCAGGTAAAGTCAGCCATAATATTGATTTGCCAGAAAACTGATTCAATTACAATGCTATGTACACAATGGTTTGGCAGACGACTGAGTCAGTCACCCTAGTTTTTGCTGGTGGCGCAAGGGTTACAGGAGTAGAACGTCACACGAGTTTCGTCAGTCAGCCTTGAAGGAGCAGACGGGCGGGTGACGGGTGGCACGCTGCGGTTCGACCGCTGGGTTTAAAACGCTTGAAGCAGGAAGTAATGCTATTTCAAAAGTATATTTTTATTCGAAAACTTTAACAAAGGTATAAGGAAGAAATGGAATTAGGATTTTTTTTTTTCGATTGACTTCTAGTAAATAAGCCTTCTAACACAAACTTAAGACGTTAACATTCTTAATGAAAATATAATTTCATTTTACATATGGAAATTAAAAATATTCCTAGCCTTGTTATATTCGGTGTCTTAAATAAACCTCTGGGTTCGTTACTTTCATCACTATCATCATATCAACCACAAGACATAGGTCTCCGCAATGACTTCCAAACAGACATGTTGGTTACTTCAAAAATAACATAACATGAGTCCCATGTAATAGGGGGTAGGCCTATTGCCATATACCGGGCACATTTCCAGACTCCGTGCTACTATTGAGATTTTTTTAAAAACCAGTAAGACTGCACAGTTGGTGCGGTGGCTGGGCAACCGGCTGCCGTGCAAAGTATCGCGGGTTCGATTCCCGCACGGAACAACACTTTGTGTGATCCACAAATTGTTGTTACGGGTCTGGGTGTGATGTGTATGTGAACTTGTATGTTTGTAAACGCACCCACGACACAGGAGAAAATCCTAGCGTGGGGCAACGTTTTAATAAAATATAAGATAAATAATTAGAAAAAAACCGGGATTTTGATTTTTCGTCATAAAATGCATTAAAATCGTGTAACGAATACAACAGTCTAACAGACAATTTCCATTTGCACGCGCAGAGTAAGATAGAGGTATCGTCCATCTTAATGAGATAGAGGTATCGTTCTCAAAAAAAATTGTGATTGTATTGAAAACATTCATATACCTATTGATAGCTAATTTCATTACTTACATTAACCACTAACTAGAATCATTGTAATCGTAATCGTCCTTTTGTAGTTCGTAAAAATATAAACCCAGTCATACTCGCAAAAGTTTGACCTCATATTCTCAACAATTTAAAATTTCGCATTATTTCGGTTTATTATTAAAGGTGCGTGCTGTCCGTTATAAAAACTCAGCGTTTAGAACGCTCGTTTGTATAGCATCGCTCTGATAATTCAAGATTTCACGGCACGGTCTTCGTTTTAGGTGTCGATGTCACTAACGTGGATAAGACATGCAAAATTAGTTTAGTGGTAATTATTTTATGGTTAGCTCCTTATTTCTCCTTAAAGATTGTAAGTGAGCTGAGTATATGGTTAGTAATACAATTTCGGGATCGATAAAATTTTTAAGTCGATTCACAAACCATCACATGTGTTAGTATTAGTTATGGCAGCGTATTATTTGAGTTAACGTATTTTACTTTAATTTATGAACACACACATATCGTGGCTATTATTAGATATCGCTTGAAGTTATTTTGAAAAAGAGCTACATCAGCAAAACTGATTTTAATTTAAAAAACCATTGAAATGAAAACCAAAAGCGAATATCCGCAAATATTGGAATCCAAACACAAATATTTGCTCAATGCGGAAATCGAATCCGCGACACGAAACGTAGCGTATTAATATAACAGATTAAATATTATACGATGTCCACCATTGTGTATGGTATTTTGTTGTAATTGGATTTCTGATTTTTTGGGGTTCAGCACAGCCTTACCAATTTATCGAGAACGGATCTCAGGTTGTCAGTTTCAAATGCAGGGTCGAGCAAATATATCAATTTTCAATTATAAAAAAACGAGTTCAATCAATCAACAGCTTATAAATGCCCACTGCTGAACAAAGCTTCTTCTCACACGGTGAAGTTTTGAGCATTAATCACCACGCTTGCTTGTTGCGGGTCGGTGATTTCAAACTTTCATTAGAAATTATAAGCCTAACTACTAAATAAACTATAATTAAAACTACGTTATAAACAATGATGTCATATTTTATTGCTAATGCGTTTCATTCAACAATACCCCACTACAAGACCTGTTAAACCGACACTAACAGATCCATACAATTCTCCACTGGCTATAGTTATCGGTAGCGAAGAGAATCGTTTTTCAAACAATATAAATAATAGTAGTTTAAACTGACACAAACAGTTGATCGCGCGCAGCCGCCGGACAATCACTCCAGTGTAGTGATCTGATTGAGTTATGCTTCAATAACCATGATAAAAATGATAGCGACACAACTAATTCTAATTTCTTTTGTTATAACCACCAATGCACTAAGCATAGGAACTGTGAGTGAACAAAATGTGACAAAACGTGAAGCGAACCTAGGTGACTTGTTCCCGGATTGGGTACCTTTCAAGAATAAACACGGTGAGGAACTTGGAGAATTCGTTCAGGTTGCCCGAAAACCTAAGAAGCGGTTAGCACCACCTGTTAACTTCGTGCTTAGAGCTGTAGCCGAATCAGACGACGACTACTATGAAAAGGGTCAAGGTGAGAGCGACAGTGATGATTATTACGAAAAAAAAGATTGGTCTGACATCAATAGATCACCACCATCCCATGATCCAAATAAGGTATTAAACCACACTGAAATTTCTGAAATAGACGGTGTTGTTAATATAATTACCAAAAAAGCACCAAATGCTGTAGTAGAAGCCCTCCAGAAAGCAAAACAGAAAAGTACCTCAGAATTAAAAGAGAAAGAAGAAAATGAAGCTTTTGGAATAAGGGATAGTGCTGAAGAAACGAAAATTCCAAGTAGTAGAAAGAAAGCAAGAAATTACGAAGATGAAATTGATTATGAAGACGGCAATACCGAAAAACGGAAATTATTAGAGTCAATAGACGAAGATCAAAATGACAATGAAGCTAAGAAAGCTATTTTGGATACGGTTGACGAGTTGAAATTACGCCATGCTAAAGAACAAGTAGCAATAGCAGAAAAAGCTAAAGAAGAAGAAATTTACAAAGAAGAACTTGAAAGACAAAAGATTCAAGCGCAGCTTTCTCCAGCAAATGATAAATATGATGATAGGCCAAAATCGAAGAAGAAGTATCCAGACTACGATGAGTATGATGAGAAATATGTGTCACTTGATGAAAAATATAATGTGAGTCCAGAAAGAACGAAACCAACGACAACACGATCCCCGAAACGAACAAGCAAACTTAAAGAGAAGAAGGAAAAGAAGATAGAATCTGGTAAACTGTCTGTATTCAAGAATCCACAATTGTACATAGTGTATGACGACGACAGTGAAGAAACAACTACTGTAAAGTCAAAACCACGACAATCAAACACTGTAAAACCGAATAAACCAGAAAGATTCTCGGCAAAATACTCTGCAGCACCCGGAATAGTAGATTTAGTAGAAGGTAACGAAAGGATCTCATTAGTACCAGAAGAGAATGAAGGTAAAGAAGGTGAACCAACACTATTCTTCCCTAAAAGGAGAAAGAATAAGAAACGCAAGAAGCCCGCAGCCGATTTATCAGACTCCACTTCTATTCCAACAACTGAACAGGAGGTTAAAAAAGAGAAAAATATTACTACAAAGGCCCCAGTATTTGACACTATCTCTAATGAAACGACAGCTACAGACAATACTAGTACTGAAATCACAGGATCTGATACCACTGGTTCAGATTCCATAATAATTGACACCACCCTTCAGACTGGACCGTCAGGAACTGATGCTGTGTCAACAAATAGTGATGCGGTAACTGATGCTATACCAGCTTCGACCCATCACCACAAGGAACCGGAGAAGAAAGAAGAGAATTATCATCGAGAGAAGGGTAAGTGATTTTATTTAATCTTGTAGACACTAAAGATGATTCTTATATTTGATCTGCGTAATTATTATTATCTGCAGAAAAGATTACAAAGAAAATTGTTTTAAACCACATAAAAACTTAATTTGTCGAAAAACGAAGTCGGTTAAATACATAACCTCATAACTAACAAAATCCAATTACCCCCCTCTTCTCTCAATCTCCCTATTCCCCAACAATCCTCAAATTCCTAATCCCCAAAAAGGCCGGTAACGCACCTCTGGTGTACCAGGTGTCCATGGGCGATGCTGATTGCTTACCACCAGGTGATCCGTCTGCTCGTTTACCGGCTTATCCCATAAACAGTTATGAATTATTACATTCCCATATTGGGTATTGATCCATAAAACTAATGTTCGCGTAGATTATTTTCGTCATTGATAAACAATTTCTATTACTACTTACATTCAAAGTTCCGTGGTGCAAAGTTTACGTTTCGGGTCAATTTTGAGTGCCAAAGCCAAGCCGAACCTAACGGGTAACCGGGGCTCCGGCTCGACGTGCAGGAGAAGGAACGGGGTGGTTTTAGTTAGTAAGAGTCTGACACTCCCTCCCGCCTAACCCAGGCGGGAGCAGTAATTCAATGACTTTCCCCCCTTAAAAAAAAAACCTCACTTGCGCAAACTCTTCTAAATGTAAATTACGAGATACTGGATGGAACTAAAGCAACCAAACAACGGTAAAATAAATAAATAAAAATTAAGTAACGACCAACTGAATTCGATATTCAAGCTTAAATTACTAATGAAGGAGATATTTGAATTACAACGGATTATATTTCACTTAGAAAGTATAATAATGTTGCCTTTCTGGAAAATTATTAAAGTTTTCTTAGAATATCTTAGTATTTATAAGTCTAAAATGGATACTTTTACCTAAACAATATCTATTTATTTTGTAACGAAGTATACTTTAATTGAAGTTAATATTACACAATTATTAATTTAAAGACGGCTATACTAATTTCCGTGATCGTTAATTACATTCTAAATGAATAGAAAATTTTCTTTTGTTTCACTTTTCTATTTTACTGGATGGGACTTAGGTCCATGTGGAATATAATTTGTTCCACATGAATCCAACTTTTGACTTCGAAACTATCCAACCAAAAATGTAACTTAATTCATGTAAGTTATGATACGTATTCATTATTCACAGTTGCTAGTTTTCTTTTTATGGAATAGAAGGCAAACGAGCCGACGGATCACCTGATGGTACGCAATCAGCGCCACCCATGGGCACCAGCAACACCAAAGAAGCCACAGGTGCATTGCAGGTCTTTTAAAAAGGAAAAAGCTCTTTTCTTGAAGGTTTGAAGGTCGTATTGGTATAATTATATATTATTATTATATATAAACTGCGTCGTTGGCCGAGTGATCGCAAGTGCGACTGCCGGGCAAGGGGTCTCGGGATCGAATCCCGGGTCGAGCAAAGTATTCCTGGGTTTTAAAAAAATCTCAGTAGTAGCATGGAGTCTGGAAATGTGGCCGGTACATGGCAATAGGCTCAACCCTATTACATGGGATTCATGACATAAATTGTGAAAAAGTGGGTGTTACATTGTAGGGTGGCATAATTTACACCTCTGCCTACCCCGTCGGGGATAAAAGGCGTGATGTTATGTTGTCAGATATTGGAAGTTAGAATAAATTAAAAATGATTATTGGCAACCATTCCATACCCAGAAATATATATCCAGTTATATGCCTAAGATAAGTGTCAACCCATTTAAAAAAAGGTTATAATGAATACTGTTTACATCAGTATACTAAAAAAATATGAAATATAAAAACCGCATCTCATTCCCGACCCATGAATTTTTTTATCCAAAATTTTAAACGACCTCCACGAAAAGTTTTAAATTAACCTATAAAATAATATGGCATTGCAATTCGCATAGTGGGCCAACGTGAAACGACTCTGGATAAAACTTGCGTAAAACTTTACGCTCCTCATAGATATATTGAACCTTTCATCCAATTTACATTTGCGGAAATTGTAATACAAAAAAATATGAGTACATTTCACCTTCTCAAAAGTTGTATCATAGGAATGAGCAATTCCCTTCCTGCCCAAAACATCTAACATACGAAAGACTTTGCTCTCTGCAAAATTGAACTTTAACTTACAAGAATAAGGGTTACAATTACCGAAATTGTTTGTTTAATATAAAATTGCCGTGTAATAGAGTATATACATCCTAATTTCTTCGACAAGGTTTTCGTTTCAGAGTTACGGCTATGTGTTACTCCACAATTTTTGATAGTTATCCGACTTTTATTGGAGAAAAACAAGAGATTTTTCGTAAATAATGAGAAGTTTTTCCTCAAAGTAATGAATCTCTGCTCCCCACGTAATAGGGCGGGCATTATTGATTACTTATTGTAACTGATTGACATTTGTATTATATCTTGACATCGGTACGATAGTTCACTTGTGTATTTTTATTTTAGTAATTGGGTATTAGTAAAAAAACAAGTTGTTATGTTCGCAGTTGCTGTTTTAGAGATTTTGTTAACGTCATATCTAAGATAAGTTATATATCGGACTATTTTTGTACAAAAACCTTTTATAATTATAATCTCAACCTCTCAATATTTAATGCCTAAGCTTCAGAAACAGTTTCCTCGTTGATTTAGTGACCGCAAAAGTGATTACTGACCGTGGTATATCGAGTTTGAGAGTGAAGCGTCCAAGCGAAGTATTAGGTGTTTCATTACCAAGTTTGGAGTATTATATTGATTTATATATAGAACAGTTCAGGTAAGACTGGAGTATCAAATGGACTGTTGGAATAATGTTATTTTACTGTAATTAAACTGTAACAGGTAGTTATTATTGTAACTAGACAAGGTTGTAGTTTGCTTTAGAGGTCTTGCTGTAGTTCAAAGTTTCTTCTTTAAGATTTCAATTCTATATTCCGTGGTATATGTATTTTATCACTGCTATTGATTAGTAGTGGAAATTCTAGTATCTTTTTCAGACTTTTTAAATTCACCGGTGACTGCTTGGGGATTTAACAGTTAAATTGTATTTGTTTCTGACGAATAAGTTAGGAGTGACAAAAGAAATTGATTTTGACTTTCAGTGTCATCTCCATTTTAGTTTTCTACTCTCTCTATAGACAAGCGCAAAAGTGGCGTTTGGCTAAAGGCACTGCGTCGAAATACATTACCTGGGTCAAGAAACAGTTCTAGCCGTATATTTTATACTCTTCGCTGTGTGCTTGAAATACCAGTGTTTGTGTGTCCATTAGAAACTTAATTATTCATTATCCACTTACTGGATTTTCCAAATTTTTGGTTTTTCGTTCCAACTAAACGTTACCTTTGGTTTTGGGTTAATTAATATGTGAATTAGACTTGTTTGGCCTAGATTGGAAGCGGGTATATTATTTTAAATATTTCGTTTTTTTAACGTTACTGGACATTTGATTTTTTAATTTAATTATTTTTTTTTTCAAAAACCATTGCCCCATATTAGTATATTCTCCTGTATCGTGGGTATGTTTACAAACATATAATTCCACATACACATGATATCCAGATTCAAAGCAACAATCTGTGAATCATACAAAGAGTTGTTCTACGGCGGCTAGCTGACCGGCCACTGCGCTAACCGTGCAGGCATAACTACCACCATTAATACTATTTCTGCTATATATCATAAGCTATGTTGTCGTGTAGCAACGGAAGGACATAATATATTCGTTACCACTGCAGCTCTTTCCGTTGGTATAGTAATATCAGGCTGAGAGAGTAGTCTTTCAGCCTTGTAGAAGTTCAACAGATACTGGGCAGTAGCGTTCTCTCAAAATGAAAATGAAAATATTGATTTGTGAACATAGGTACAATGGGATGTTACATTTCTTAGTATAATATTGTTCATCTATGTTTTGTGATATATCACATACAAATTTAATTGAAAATTGAAAGTTTAAATAATTACTATCGTCAATAATATTAATTGCATTCACATTAATTAGTATAATATTCAAGTATGTATATAAAAAAAGATAATGTGTTTGATGAAAATCACTACCAAAGTCGCTATCCGCTGTCTGTCTGTCCCTTTGTATGCTTAGATCTTTAAAACTGCGCAAAGAATTTTGATGCGGTGTTTTTAATAGATAGAGTCATACTTAAAGGGGGTTTATATGTATAATACATGCATATTGCACACGTTCGAAGCCGGGGCGGGTCGCTAGTATTGAATAAACCTGATCCTTTTAAACTGCTATCTTTAACCCAAAATCTATTTTTGGCAAGCCCCTATTTTGTAAAAGACACGTTAAATCATAGGACTTCAATATTTGTATTCACAACTAAACAATTATTTATCTTATAAGCTAAAATACGGATATAAAACAAATTGATTAAAACATTTCAATAAAAATGCTTTTTTTTCCAATCAACGAAGCATTTCACGCACTGTGCAAGTAATATTCGTTGCGCACTGGACCGTTATATTGCATCTGTGGACAAAATAAACTGGTTACCTGAAAAATGTGTTATTTTATAAGTCAATGGAGGATTTAGGTACATGACTTACAACTGTAACTTCCTGACAAGGCAGGTAGAGGATTCCATAGAAAAATCACTTTAAACGAATAATCAGTTAAAGCGTAGATAAAATATATTTCCTTAGACTTGATTTTTAAAAAACACCTACTTTGAGACTGCACGGTTGGTGCGGTGGCTGGGCAACCGGCTGTCGTGCAACGGGTCGCGGGTTCGATTCCCGCATTGAACAACACTTCGTGTGATCCACAAATTGTTGTTTCGGGTCTGGGTGTCATGTGTATGTGAACTTGTATGTTTGTAAAGGCACCCACGACACAGGAGAAAATCCTAATGTGGGGCAACGTTTTTTTTTTAAAAAACTAGATCACTTTATATATAGAGGTAAATACATACATTCATATAACAAAAACTAAACCAATAATTTGACAAACGTAAATAGTC